AATCTCATAAAAATGCTAAATAAAATGCACCCGTTACAAATGTACCCCCAAATAAGATCTGACCTGGAAAAATAATAGGCCCTCAAAGTGCTTGCCCCAGAGTTGCGTCCGACTCCTTTGAATTCGACTAAAATGTACAGTGTCTCTAGTAGATCGACAATACAGAGCGAAAACATCCTACTGGAAACGCATAAAAGAGTATTGTGGGGGTGGGTGGTGATTATTGGAAACCAATCCATCTATATTTTTGCAATCTCATCTCACAGTGCGATTTCTTTTCTAGGGGGAGCGAATGAATGAAGAGTGCCCTTGGAGAGCCAGCCACCAACAACAGGTTATTTCGCTATTTCCAAATAACCGGCATCAACATCCTTTGTTGTGCGGCGGTAAGACGAAATCTATACATCTCGGGTTATTAATTTTATGAAAAATTGCGATCGTTATTTGTAAGAAAGGACGCGACGATTACGAAATACGCGAAATGGGGATAGTAAATCTACATTTCAGGAATGGGATATACGAAGGAATATGAAAAATTAGATTTTTAATGGAAATATGTTGGGACGCTCAACTTGCCACGTGTAAAATTCTTCTCATGCCGAAGCCACTTTCATAAATCTGCACGGGCAAAGTGAATTAGTTTCGCCTACCGTTTTCACTTCATGAACACAAGACACGCACTTAGGAAACAACATTTTTCATTAAACTACAACTTGGCATTTTCTTCCATTAGCCAACAATAAAAATATGTGTTTGCGAACGGGATCGTATTGGTTTTCCGGCGAGCATATTGAACTTTTCCCAGTCCCCTAAATTACAATTGTACACATGTAAGACTAAGCCGAAAAATCCCAAGGGAACTCGGTTAATACAGCCTGCGGCAAGCGAGACTACTTTGAGAAAAAATTTGGAGAAAACTCCGGGGAGCGGACCTAACTTTTGATATAAACGACTTGCGTTTCGGCCGTCACATTTAATAACGCCCGTTTTTCCCCAATTAGAAACTTCCATCGAACGATCGTCCGATAGGTTTTGCAATTTCGAATTCCCGGCGGACTGAGAAGGGAGAAGAAAGCGGCGGTTTCGTCAATAATGCATCGTTGGAAGTATCAACGTTGAAAAAGACATTTAAATTTAGTATTCGAAAGTCGATTTTCCAAGGAAATCGACGCGTTGGAATAGTAACACAATTTGTGGGCCGATGGCAATTATTTCTAGGTCTAAGAGATGGAATTCTTTAAGTTTTACGTTTAGACCTTTAGTCATTTATTTGGTCAAATATTGACTTTTATTTTCCTTTTGCAGAATTTCCCGTAAATATCCCTCCCGCGCCAATTTCCTTCAATCGCACCAATTATCTACACTTCTATTTTCCGGTCATTTCTTTCACGGACAACATCTTCATTGCTTAAAAATTTTCTTTACCCATACTTTCTTGCGTTTCTTTAATTTTCCACAATTTCTACACGAAACTCGTCGCGGTATTTTCATTTCATTAAAACACAATCAACATTTGCTGAAAATAGTAGATGAAATCAGCTGTTCATGTTTACTATCGGCTTTATGTTATCTTATCTCACCACTTGATATTTCCATCCGTCAACGCTATTGTTTATTTTGTTTAAGTACCTAATCTAACGTATAATTATAATTCGGTGGCAGATTGTCCATAAAGAACAACACTAGGGGTCCAAAGAGTTTGGAGGTAATGAAGGAGGTGTTCATTTTCAAGGTAAAAGTTCAACCATTTCCACTACAGTGTAAAAAAAACATTTTTCTCACCGGAAAATTCCTCCATTCCCCTAATGTTTGCTGCTTGAACCATGAAATTATTGCCCGAAAAGTTCTATCCCAGCTCGAGCTTGAAGGAAAATTTGGAAAGTTCGAAGTAGAAGCAAAGATTTTGGGTGGCCACAATCATCTGATTTGAGGGTTGTAACTTTTGTGCGCCATCAAATAAGTTTGTTTCTCTAATCGATTATGTTATAAGGGTTCACAATCAACCCCCTAATTGCGTATCAAAATTCAACCCCGAGAAGATTAGAAATTACTTAATTTTTGAGAAAATTCGATCTTAGGTGGAATACACTCATCTGATTTGGGGGTTGTAAGTGTTCCGCCCCATCAAATATTTTTGTTACTTTAATCGATTATGTTTAAAGTGTTCACATCAACCCCCTAATTCCGTATCAAATTGTAACCCCACGAAGAAATTGCTTAATTTTTAAGAAAATTCGATCTTAGGCGACATACACTCATCTGGTTTGGGGGTTGTAACTTTTGTACCTCATCAATAATTTTTGTTTCCTTAATGGATTATGTTATAAGGGTTCACAATCAACCCCCTAATTACGTATCAAAATGTTATCCCGCGAAGTTTAGAAATTACTTAATTTTTGAGAAAATTCGATCTTAGGTGCAATACACTCATCTGATTTGGGGGTTGTAAGTGTTCCGCCCCATCAGATTTTTGTTACTTTAATCGATTATGTTTAAAGGGTTCACAATCAACCCCTAATTGCGTTAAACCCCAAGAAGTTTAGAAATTACATATTTTTTTAGAAAATACGATCTTAGGTGAAATACACTTATCTGATTTGGGGGTAGTAACTTTCGTGCCCCCCAAATATCTTTGCTTCCTTAATCGATTATGTTTAAAGGGTTCACAATCAACCCCTAAATGCATTCAACCCCAAGAAGTTTAGAAATTACTTAATTTTTAAGAAAATTCGATCTTAGGTGGAATACACTCATCTGATTGGGGGTTGTCAGTGTTCCGCCCCATCCAATATTTTTGTTACTTTAATCGATTATGTTCAAAGGGTTCACAATCAACCCCTAAATGCATTCAACTCCAAGAAGTTTAGAAATTACTTAATTTTTAAGAAAATTCGATCTTAGGTGGAATACACTCATTTGATTTGGGGGTTGTAAGTGTTCCGCCCCATCAAATATTTTTGTTACTTTAATCAATTATGTTTAAAGGGTTCACAATCAACCCCTAATTGCGTTAAACCCCAAGAAGTTTAGAAATTACATATTTTTTTAGAAAATACGATCTTAGGTGAAATACACTTATCTGATTTGGGGGTAGTAACTTTCGTGCCCCCCAAATATCTTTGCTTCCTTAATCGATTATGTTTAAAGGGTTCACAATCAACCCCTAAATGCATTCAACCCCAAGAAGTTTAGAAATTACTTAATTTTTGAGAAAATTCGATCTTAGGTGGAATACACTCATCTGATTTGGGGGTTGTAAGTGTTCCGCCCCATCAAATATTTTTTTTACTTTAATCGATTATGTTTAAAGGGTTCACAATCAACCCCTAAATGCGTTCAACCCCAAGAAGTTTAGAAATTACTTAATTTTTAAGAAAATTCGATCTTAGGTGCAATACACTCATCTGATTTGGGGGTTGTAAGTGTTCCGCCCCATCAAATATATTTTTTACTTTAATCGATTATGTTTAAAGGGTTCACAATCAACCCCTAATTGCGTTTAACTCCAAGAAGTATAGACATTACTTAATTTTTGAGAAAATTCTATCTTAGGTGGCATACAATCAACTGATTTGGGGGTTGTAACTTTTGTGCCCCCCAAATATCTTTGTTTCCTTAATCGATTATGTTTAAACCGTTCACAATCAACCCCCTAATGGAGTATCAAAATGTTATCCCGCGAAGTTTAGAAATTACTTAATTTTTAAGAAAATTCGATCTTAGGTGGAATATACACTCATCTGATTTGGGGGTTGTAAGTTTTCCGCCCCTTCAAATATTTTTGTTACTTTAATCGATTATGTTTAAAGGGTTCACAATCAACCCCTAATTGCGTTCAACCCCAAGAAGTTTAGAAATTACTTAATTTTTAAGAAAATTCGACCTTAGGTGGAATGGAATAGACTCATCTGATTTGGGGGTTGTAAGTGTTCCGCCCCATCAAATATTTTTGTTACTTTAATCGATTATGTTTAAAGGGTTCACAATCAACCCCCAATTGCGTTCAACCCCAAGAAGTTTAGAAATTACTTAATTTTTAAGAAAATTCGATCTTAGGTGGAATACACTCATCTGATTTGGGGGTTGTAAGTTTTCCGCCCCATCAAATATCTTTGCTTCCTTAATCGATTATGTTTAAAGGGTTCACAATCAACCCCCTAATGGAGTATTAAAATGTTACCCCGCGAAGTTTAGAAATTACTTAATTTTTGAGAAAATTCGATTTCAGGTGGCATACACTCATCTGATTTGGGGGTTGTAACTTTTGCACTCCCTCAAATATTTTTTGTTTCCTTAATCGATTCAGTTTAAAGGGTTCAAAATCTACCCCCTAATTCCGTATCAAATTGTAACCCCACGAACTTTAGAAATTGCTTAATTTTTAAGAAAATTCGATTTTAGGCGAAATACACTCTTCTGATTTGGGGGTGTAACTTTTGTGCTATCAAATATTTTTGTTTTTAGGTAAAATCACAGGCTAAACACAATAAACAATTAGGGAGCTATTGTAACGAGAGGACATTTTTTGCGATTTTATTCCATTGAAACAATAGGAAAAATAAATTGTAAAGATTAAATGCAGTTAAGGTTGCAATTATATTCCCCCAAACAAATATTCATTAGTAGTATCGTATTACGTAATAAAAAGAGGCAATATAAGGTTTCATATCTGACGCTGCGAGTTGGGTTCCTCTGACAAGGAGATAATTTCTGCTGCCTCGGCATTTTTTGGAGACAGCCTTCGATATGGAGAGCCGATGCATATTAACGAACCAACCAGTCTTATTAGACTAGTTTATTTGGTGGGATCAAAGATTTCACTAGAAAGGCCCTTTAAAATAAAGTATCCCTCGAAGAAAACAACAATTCGCGTATGTCAGCGTATTTTGCAAGAAAACAAACATGAAAGTAACTTTTCGATGGTCACTCAGTATACTACGAAATATATAAATAGTATATTATAATGACAGAATGAATTTAAACGTTAAAATACTACTCACCAATAAAAACCTCGTTAGCAATATCATGGAACTTACCTGAAACAAAAACACAGAATTTAGCGAAATGCTTTTCTTAAAAAATACAGAAAGCAAATTAAGTAGTAATTTAAATTTAAATTTCCTTTTTCGTAACAGCAATTTTCCAAACACGTGGAAATTAGTTCAAATTGGTTACCAAATACACTTCGACTACAACCCTTCGAAGGGCAAATAAATTAAAATTCACACCACGTTACATTCGTTTACAGCCGAAATCTCGTATATTTCTCCCTTATCGGTAAAGAGTTTGGTTTCAACAGCCATTCTGAGAGAGGAATTTTTCATATTCCCCCGTGGGTTATTGAAATCACTCACAAATAGCTCAATATTGAGATCGCGAGATTCCCGAATACGCTTCAATTAAAAGGGGGGGTTCCTGTATAACGAAAATGGATACTTCAGAAAATGATTTTCGGCTTCTAATTAAATAAAATTCAAACACTGCGATCCCCGCGCGTGATTAGGGTTCTCATCAGAGATTGGCAATTAATATTAAATTAAAATTTCAATGCCAATTTTGTCTCTTACGCTCAACTAAACGTCCTAATGAAACAGTGGATAGGACTGGGTAAATAACAGAGAGATATAATAATCGACCTAGATTGGGGCAAATATTTGCTTAAAGTTACGGAATAGATCTCTTTATGTGGCAATAAATAGTACGCCTCCCACAATGGGGAACTAACTCCTAATAGACCTATTTTATATATAAGAACCATGTAATTATGAACATTTTCAGAGTAGATTCCATTGGGGAGAAAAAATCATTGCAAAAAACGCTATGCGGTATGAATTCCTGAGCATCCTGTATTGAGGGAAAATTTCAATACAGCAACTGCAAATAATTGCGACAAGCCCTTCAGGAATGTAAGCTCCTGATACAGTAATCACATCAGTCCGACGTTGGGGTTGGGCACCCTGTATAGTAAAGCCTAATTACGGCGAACAAAAACTGTGCGGTTATCGCAGAATCGCTTAGATGCCGGATAAAATCGGATTGCCAGAGGCGATACATAATTTTCAGATTCCCCCCGACACGTAGATTGCACCCCATTAATTTCGCACTTGCACTTGCATCCCGAGGGAGATTGATAGCCAAGGGCTGGTTTCGCCAACTTCGTGTTGTTTTCACACTTCTCGCGCTTATGCCGCGGTTGAGTGCGGAAAATGCGATCAAAGGTAAATAATTTTCAGCCTGATTAGTGCAGTTTACGCGAATAGATTGGGGGGAATAAATTGTAGGTAGTGTGCGAAAAAATTCGACCGCAAGTACTTAGCTTTAATTAAAGCAAATTATATTTACATTATTTGATGATCCGTAAAGCCGCAATTTAATTAGCGCAGTTTTATCATAACTAATATTTGCATTTCATTATTATTCGCGAAATTATTGCCATCCACTTTGCATGAACTTGCATAATTTTGCCATACCCATTAGGGTAATTCAATGGGAAACCTTCGCGCAAAATTTTACCGGGGTGGCGATTAGTTATCCGTCTTTGTTACTAAATAATTATTCAGCGAACTTTTCGAGCTTTAAATTTCAAATTAGGATGTATTTGTAAAGAATTGTAGGTGGGTTTGTAATTAACGTACAAAATTGAAAAAAGTTTGAAACTCTTTCCGAATATCGATTCGGTCAACATTGGGAAAGTGAACATTAGACAAGGAACATTAATGCAAGGTGGCGTCGCTCGGCCCCCCCTTCAAAAAATCAACTTCGGGAATTGTGTGAGATTTATAACTTATGAGCGCCTTTTTTGGCTTAGCCCTCTAATGGAAAAGTAATTTTTATGGATGAAAACAATAAATTTACATATTCTTTTCTTATTATGAATCCATGAATATATTTATCGAGATATTTTTACTTCAACTTTCATGCACGAAAAAAAGTAATTAGTTTACGCTTGAATATTTGATTTTGAACTGGCTATATGTATAGTTCTACCAGATATAATTATTCCAGATGATTCGGACAAATTAACGATCTTGAAACCTGACACCTACTCAAATAATTGTGTAAAAATCGAAAATCGATTATCCTTTTTCTAGACCTAATCCTACTTCTTGCCTCCCCAAACTATAATTCGTTCCTTTAGTGATTCGTTCAAAGAAATTACCCTTAGCAGTTGTTATGGGGGGGCGCATGAGTCGCCCAAGTTATAATTCGGCCTGCATATGCGCATTCGTCGAACAACCATCAATAATGAATGTGTCTGTTAAAAAGTAGCATGCCATTTTCATCGAATTTTTAATTGCACCACACCGTGAAACCGAAATCGCTTTCGTCGATGCTGTTGTTTAATCAACCAACAAGTTAAGCTATCGCTACCACAAAAAAAACACCAACGCCAGCCACTATCGTTTGTTTATTGAACGCAATTCGAAACAACAACAATACATGTGCCGTATCGAAATCAAGATTTAGAATCAAATTACTTTATTTGTATTTTTAATTAATAAACACGTTAATCATTCATTATTCATTAGTGTCGATATTCTTTCAACATCCCTCTTATACAAAAGCATAGCCTAGAGCATAGCCATCAATTGCATATGTCCAGTTCCCAAAAATGATTTGATATGATCTTTTTAACCGAGAATGATAGGTGTTTCATGATTATACTGGTGGTGCTACCAATCACAATAATAAATTAATATTAATGGGCGCCGCCGGTTCGCAAACGGGCACAGGAAAAACGTAAAATTTGAAAAAAATTGGGAGGGGGAGAGCAGTTATGGAGCACTTAGAATTTGCCCCCCCCCCTCTGCCCCAAGTTTGATTCTATCAGACACTCATTTGCTAGATTAATCCTTACTTTTACTTCGGTTGACGTTTCTGTAATTCCTTCCTCTCCACTTTTTTATGAAGTCACACTTGCTGCGCTGTGATTGGCTGCGCCATTTTGTGCCGGTGAATTTTGAATTTGTTAATATATATATAATATACACGGTGTCCATTTTCGAGTGCCACTATGGGGATCTCGCTTACCTTACGAGACAGAAAGTTGGTTAAATGGGGGGCAAAGTTGCGAATTTCCTTGCTGAATAATCATCTGAAAAGAAATTTAAAATATCATCAATAATTCTGAAAATATCGCAAAAAAACGAAATTTTCTGATTTTCATTTTTAACTTTTTCATGGTAAACTAGACATTTCTAACTTCTACACTTCTAACACATTATTCGAACACTTCAATGGAAATTTCGAGTGTGACATCTCGTTTTAAATAACTTTTAAGATGACAGAGAAACACGTGACAACTTTAGTTTTTCTTACGGGCGCCATTTTTAATTTTGAGATTTTAAGATTACGTACGTCTTTTTTTCTCTTTGCGACGATATATCACACATGGTGGTTCAGTATCACATTTTTCCTAAAATACAATTTTTAATTATTTGGGAAGAGTGCTTTGGAAAAACAAAACGTTCTTTTATTGTGAACAAAAGTGTGACAGTTTGATGCATATGTCCGGTTGCAGCGTTGGCATCAGGGAACTAGATCTGTTGAGAAAATTCGATTTTCATATGAACAGAATTGCATCTTCGTTTTGAAAGAAAATTATAATTCAAATTAGAACAAAATACATACGAATAAATATTATTTTAGCAATAAAACTAGCACAAACGTAAATGACACTGCTTGTATTTTTAGAAAAAATGTGATACTCAACCACCATGTGTGATATATCGTTGTAAAGAGAAAAAAAGACCTAATCTCAAAATGTCAAAATCCAAAACGGCGCCCATTAAAAAATTAAAGTTACCACGTGTTTCTCCGTCATCTTGAAAGTTATTAAAAACGGGATGCCATATTCGAAATCTCCAATAAAAAGTGTCTGAAGAATGTGTTAATTAGAAATGTCTAGTACAATTGGTTTACCATGAAAAAATTAAAAATGAAAATCAGAAATTTTCGGTTTTTTGCCATATTTTCAAAACTATTGAAGATATAAATTCATTTTTAGATTATTATTCAGCACGAAAATTCGCAACTTTGCCCTAATTTAACCAAGTTTCTATCTCTTAAGATGAGCGAGATCCCTATAGTGGCACTCGAAAAATGGACACAGTGTATATATAATATAATTTTAAATATAATAATAATAGTTATATACAGGGTATTTGTGATCGACGTTTTTGTACCGGTGCCAATAGATCGTTAACTGGTCGGCCATTTTTTTGCGATGAGACTAAAAATTTACGCCTGTGTAGATATATTTGAAATTAAATATACGGGTGTAATGATAATTATACACAGGGTGTTTGTGGTCGGCCATTTTGTTCCGGGTGTTATAATGGCGCTAAGATGTCAGCCATTCTGTTCCGATGCGACCATTTGCGCACGGTAAATTTGGAAATTTACTTTATCCACTCTCTTCCGCTAATATATTTTGTTAATAGTAATAATTAAATGATGTCAAGTTTCAAAATTGTTTTTTAGCACGTTGTTGAAAATGATAGCGCTTATACAGGATCCTGCAACAGAGCATCGGTCTTTCATAGCTCACACCTGGTAAAAAATATCAAAAAACCTTTTGGGGCAATGCCACTATCAAGGTGAAAGTGGCTTATAGAGAATTATTCGGAAAAAATTTGGTAACAATTACAAAAAACCAAAAAGTGAATAGGTTTCCATGCAAAGGAACTAAAAATATCCAGAGTGTTTTCATTAAAAAAATCATTTGTCTATTGACACCGTAAAAATGGGCACCCTGTACATTCAAAAATAATTTCTGTAGATGCTCAACCATCTATGGCTGACAAAATATCAAAAAACCTTATGCACAAAAGGTTTTTTGATATTTTTACCAGGTATGAACTAGAACAAACCGCCGCACTGTTGCAGGACCTTGTATATTTACTTTGGTTGTTCGGTTGCATAGGTTTTTTAGGTATAACTCTCGAAGGAATCATCGTAGAATACTCGGGTTTGAAGCATGAGGTTGGTGTCTCAATTCTTTGCATGAAGATTATGTTTATAAAATGAGTTTGCT